AATACTACTTTTTTAATAATTAATTTCCGTTTTTCAAATAAAATCAAAATCTAAACAGTTTTTAAAATATTTGGTTAAATCCTCTTTTTGGAGTATATTTATAATTTCACCAACAGCAGTTCGTAATTCCTCTTCGGTTCATGGTCTTTGCTTCTTAACATACTGCTTAATAACATTAAAAATCTCCTCTACTGGATTTAAGTAGGGATTGGAAGCAACTATGTATCTGGGTTCAATATTTTTGACAGTTAACAACTCTTTAACCTTTTTAGCATGATGAAATCGAATGTTATCTAACAAAAGATAATATTTTTCCTTGTTAGGGAGTTTAACATTATTAAGAAAATTAGCAAAAACCTCGGTCTTTACTGTATCTTTAACCAATTCTCAATGAACTACCCCTCCTTTTTCTACATTTCTAATAACCAATATTAAACTATAATTAGCACCATAACTAGGTTTATGGTCAGTAATCTTTTGACCTTTCAAACCCCAACCTCGTCGTGAAGCCAGATTTAAAGGATGTCCACTTTCATCAGTGGATAAAATCTGTCTTGGAGGTAATTTATTAGCTCTTTCCATAAACTCAATAACATCTACTAAGTTAGCTTTTTGTTGAGGATGACGATAGGGAATTACTTGGTAGGAATATTTAATCTTTTTTAATACTAAGAAAATAGTAGCAACACAAAATCTCTTGTCCGTTTTATCAAAAATATAATCGGACATTTCTCTGAGTGTTTTTGCTTTTTTATTATGAATAGCAGAAAGTAAATAAAAAAGACATTTTCTATCGAATTTTCTTTTTGCTCCAACCTTTTGAAGAGGCTTGATAACTGGCTTTCTTCAATATCTAATCATTCTATCACTTCTTTTTAATCCAGTAGCAATTTCCTTGTAAGGAACCCCTGATTTCTTTAATCCCTCTACAAACTCAACTAAATCTTGGTGTTTAAACTTTATTGGTCTCCTCGTAAGATTGTCATCTACTTTTTTAGTTCCTTTGTTTAACTCTTCCTCTAATCAATCTATCCCCTCCTCTTCTTCAAATTCTTCGTTTTGCTGGAAATCTTGATAAAGTTTGTAATTCCCACTTTTATCCCATTCCAGTTTTAATTTACCACTTAAATTAGGGATATAACCTATTCGGTAATTATTTAAAAACCAATCTTCTTTACCAGTTTGAATATCAAGAAAAGTATATCTCCAAAATTGCTTACTTTTACTTCTTTCTCCCTTAATTATTTTGGCAAGAAACTCCATAGACCATATATATATTTTATATATATAAAGCCTCTAATTTGTTTAATTTATGTAGTCTTGCTAAAAGCCTCCACGGTAGTTTTCTTGTATTCGTCCATACTTTGTTTGGCTAATTCATTGTATAAGTGTCCTTGTAAAAGGTAATTCACCCTTTTTTTCTTTTCGGGTGGAAAGTCTCCTACTTCCAAGTTTTTTACCAAATTAAACAAAGCAATCTTCCTCTCATAAGGACTTTGATGACTTTTTAAAATGTTCTCTATCTTTTCAGCCAATTGATTTTTATCTAGTTTTTTTACCATGATATTTTTTGCTTGTCTTATATCTATAATTTTACAACAAAAGAAAACCCCCTAGTCCATGTTAATTAGTCCATATTAGTTCTAATTAACTTAGTGCTACATGTGTGGTGTGAATTAAAAAGATTAAAGCTACTAAAATAAACTATATGCCTAACCATCAAAAATGCTACGGATGCCACCAAGATTTATCGGGAGAATATTGCACACTTAAAAAAGATAAAAGAGCAGAACATGTTCACTTTAAATGCTGAGAGGCAAGCCGACAGCAATATAAGCAAGAATTTGACCAAATTACTGAAAAGGGAAAAGTCATCCAAACTAAATGTGAAGAAAGCAGTTGTGGTAAGAAATTTGACCCTCGAACAGCTGAGGGACTAAGACATAAAGGTGAACAAAACCCAACAGATTACCCTGATTATGTTGGATTAGAAATAATTTTTGCTAGTGATTTAGGCTCCGTTTACAGACTTACATTCAAAGAACACGAAGAACTAAACAAAAACTCTACTCCTATTAAAACTATGGAGGATTTGGTTCAATTATGAATGAAAAATGAAAGTCTTCAAAAAATTTACTATGATGTGGGAATTTTTAAAGCAAAAGGTTTTGATGGCAAAATAAAAGAAGATTATTGTTTAATGAAATGTCTTGCTTTTTTCAATAAAGTAAGAAGTTGGCTAAAAACTCAGTCTAACCAAGAATTTGTAAATAAAGGAGGTGATAATCCCACACAAGAGAGAGAGAGAGAGAGAGAGAGAGAGAGAGAGAGAGAGCATTTCGGAGTATTTCAAAACTCACAATATCAAGTCCATTACTTTACAAGGTGATAAACTTCTAATTGAGTATAATAACAACTCTCCAACTGAAACCAAACCAATAGATACTAGTGAATTACAGTTAATCCAATCTTATTGTCAAAGTCAAGGCTTAACTTCTTTAAGTTTAAGTGATTTACAAAAAAGCAATCAAGAAAGTAATAAACCAACTAATTATTGACCTTATATTTTGGGAGGAATAGGGATATTATTGGTGGTCGGAATTATTGCTTACTTTCTGTTTAGAAAGAAAAAAGAATAATATGGCAAAAGCAAAAATATCACCCACTCCCCTCCGACAAGTTTACTTCGGACAAAAATCTATTCAAATTGAAAAGAATTGAAAGAAATGATTAGGAGACCCAGCCAAGTTAGAGGCACAACTAAAAGGCTGGTTTGAAGAAAATGCAAAAATAGTGGAAGAAAACAACTCTTTGAAAGAAAAGTTAAAAGACAAAGACCAAGAAAACACTAATTTAAAGAATGATTTTGATGCTGAAAGAATAAATTGAACAAACGAAAGAACTAAACTGCAAAATCAAATCAATGCTATCACTATTTCTCGTGATACTTTTTTAAAGCAATTAGAGAATAGCCGTGAATTTGCTAAGAAGACTTATCACTATTTAGGCAATTATGGTAAAAATCCTGCTCTTTATTCTCTCGAAAGTTTGAAACAATTATTGAGAAAAAATGATAAACCCACCACTGATAAAGATTACTATAATTTGTATGATTTAGTAAAATACACTCCTACCGTGGTAGAAAAACTAGAAAAAGATGTTGCTAGTTGAAAATCTATTTATGAGTTGGAAAAAGATAAGATTAAGGGTAGGGACAAAACTATCCAAAGTTTAGAACTCAAAAATGAAAAACTAACTGAAAACCAAAAAAAACTATATGGTTATTTAAGTAATGCCTGAAAAATGGTCTCCCATTTACAAAAAGATTTAGCCACTGAAAAGCAAGATAAAGTCCATATTCAAAAAGAATTAGATGATACTTTGACTATTCTGAATAAACCTACTACTGAAATGGGAACTCAAACTGATTTAACGGCTGAACAAATATCCCGAATGGAAGAGAAAATTACTAACTATCAGAAAGATATTACCCAATCCCAAAATCAAGTAAATTTTCTCACTAACCAAATAAGCACTCTCCAAACCGAAATCAGAGGTTTACAAAAACAAGTAAAAGATAAAGAACTAAATGAGGCAGAGAAAGATTTATTGGATTATGTGGAAAGGGGAATTTCAACTCCTCTTGCTGGCACAATTCTTCCCAATAAACTTCTAATATTGCTACAAAATGAGGACAAATGAACTTCTCTCCATCCTGAATACGAAATAGTTAGAAAAAAACTAATCATATTAACCAAAAAGGAATTAGAAAGAAGAGACTTACAAACTAAAATCACTAAACTAGAAACAGATAAAAGAGACTTACAAACTAAATATGATATGGAAGTGAGAACTAAGGAGGAGTTAATAGGCTTTTTAAGTGTTTATCGTCAACAATCTTTTTTAGAATACAGAGATTTTGTTCTTGATAGAAATAAAACTGAAATCGAGGAATTTCTAAAACAACATACTCCTTACCTTAATAGAATTAATTTAATTGTTTTTAAACTAACTAGTGATAGAGTAATTGATTTTAATTGAATAAAGAGAATTGCTTCTGACTATTCTTTGTGTATAAAAATTGATTATTCTCGAATGGTTCGGGATGATTTACCAGCCCCTAAAATAGTCTTAAATAACTTGCCTAAACATTTCAAAAAAGTAGATAGTTTGATTTATGAGAGTATTTTTAACACTCCGACCAAAGAAATATCATGTAAACCAGAAGTAGTAATTAATTATGTTTAGGAAGTTGTTGCTGAACAGCAATTTCTTTGATTTGTTGATAAGTTTGGTGTTCTTGTCTTAATTGCGGTTCATTTCGAACGAAGAACATTAAAATAATAAATATAGTAAAATCGATTGTTGTATAATAAGTAAAAAGAATATCGAATTATATGACACAAAAATTTAAAGTTATACATGGTTTACAAGAAAATCTTTCTGGTTCTTGTTGCCGTGGCTGTTTCAATAAACAAACTTCATTAGTAGGAAATACTAATTTTCCCTCATCTATTTACCTAATGATTGTTCGATTAGATAGATTTGGTAATGAGACAAATGTAGCAGATAGTTATTGCTCAAAATGTGCTATTGATTTCTATAACCGAAAGGCAGACGAATTGGCTGGTCAACACAAGGTTCAAGAAATGAAAAGAGACAAATTTAGTAAGGAATTGTAAAAGAGAAGTTGAGAGATGATTATAAAATTTGTATTAAAAACGGAAATTAATTATTAAAAATGTAGTA